GGCGGCTAGTTTCCCTCGTGTTCAGGGGCTGGCCGATGACGCATGGGTGACAGAGAGCAATGACGGTGTGAAGGTGAACAATCAGATGCAAATCGCGGATAGTTGCGTGAAGACGTGCTTGACTGAAGGGCCGAATCATTAAAACGAGACGGAGGAAGGTCCGTGTAGCTGTTCTGTGTCTGGGCGTGTGTGTATCCTGGTACGCGACGATGGCAGTATCGAGCGATATGGCCAGCGCCATCACCTGCAAAACAGATGGGCTGGTTATAGCGCATTATCGAGGAATTCGCAGCGAGGGGAGCAGCCCATGCGGCGGACGGGCGAGTTGGGGCTGTGGTAGCAACGGGAGGAGCCCATGTGGTGGATGGCTGAGTCGGGGCTGAGGTATGCGGCAGTGCTTGGAATGGTGGGGGCTGGTGTAGCTGTTGCCACATTACTGCCTCAGCGTAAGTAAGAGGCGCAGTAATGGGGTGCTGCTGAAAGGGCACTGGCACAGCCTCAAAAATTTGCTCTTGAATCACATGTTGGAGCATGGGAGCCAGTGGTGTTGGGTGTCACAGCAGCTGCTGCTGCGAGAGCTCTTGGCGTTGAGCAAAAGGCAGTAGGGAAAGCTGCCGAGGCACTTCCTCTCACACAAAGTTTTTCATTTGTGCGAGAAGGTACGTCTAGTCAGGTATGACGTCCAGTAAGGTCACTGGTTGGATTGTCTGGGATAAATGTCACGTCAGAGCTCGCCGCTTCCTTAATTCATTATGGCTCAGACACAAAGTCATCAGTTCTCCCACAGTGGTAGGAAATTTGGCGAGCGGCATCTGGAAAAGGTCATCGTCAACGCCCTTCATAATGGTGCTGTATCTTGCCACTCTCGCTCATGGAGGCATCGACGTGCCGGCAGAGATCGATTACATTTTCTATATACAACGGGAAATTCCACCTGGTTCATGCTCCCAGTTTCGGATATCTTGTTCGGCACGTAGCTTCCGTAAAGCAGGGCGACCAAAAGCGGCGGATATTGATTCCTTGAAAGCGGACTAGTTCGCAAACTCGGTTTCGTGGTTCGCGTACCACAGCTTCACCACATTGATGAGATAAAAGTTAACAGTGCCAACCTTGGCAGCGTCATCCCACCTGTTGGGTCTACTGACTTTTTTTCTAGGACGACAGCCAGTCCTCAACATCCTGGTCTTCGGTGCCCGCAATGATCAGGGGGTCTCGCTGGTAAACCGGGCCTGGGCAAGGAGTGGCTGCGAGAGGTACTGTCTCTTGGGCAGCGTGAACTTGCATTGTCGATGGCATGGTATGGGATCAGAGCTCCAGGGCGTAAGCGATGTGGTTACCCAGCACAATCCACCAAATGTAAGGAGGTTTATTTGGTGAGCCTAACAAATAGGTGGACGATTAGAGATAGATACTTGACGAGGAAGATGGTGGTGCTTGAGCGCCGATCTCGTGGTGCCTTGCTCTCTTGATGATGCTTGCTGTTCCCTGTTGTTGTCTGCATCTTTTCCTTATAAGTAGAACTTCGATTACGCCACCTGGTTTCGCAACGACCCGCATTTTACAACAAATCCGTGTGGTCCCAGCGAAATTCCCCAAGAAGTTATGTATTAAAAAACTAGGTTATACGAGGCAGTTTTATGCCAACCCTGTATCTCACAACTTTCAGATTCTGTCCGAAAAAGAAAAAATACCCTTACTCGAATCAAATGTCGTCCAAATATTCATGAGTGTAAAATATGAACCTGCATTCCCCTAGGTTAACGAATAAAAGAGTACAGACAAGATGTCTTTTTATAGTGGAAAATATATCTTCCTGGAAGTTCATGCGCTTCTACATAAGCCTCGATTACCTGTGTATGTATCCGGGGTCCTTACCTAGCCAAGCTCTATTCACACAGAGTAGCTCTAACCAGGCAGAAAACTGTTATTTTCACGTTTTCGGTTCATGGAAACTTTTCCTGGTCGACATACAGCTGATCTCCTGCCTTTGTCGTACTCGCAGCCACAGGCTTGTGCACTCCTTCGGGCACAACCAGGCTGATTTCATCGTGCAAAACTATTTGCACTTGACATCAATGTTCATAATAACAGCGGAACATCACTAGTTGCACTTCACAGGTCAACAAATTACAATGTGCACAGCTCAGTCGCGCGAGAAGGCATTCTAGGCCAAATTGTGGTCCGCCAGCATTATGTGAGAGCAATGACACGGTGTCCGACTCTTTTGACCGGAAGCTGTTGGCAAGGTGGTTTCGTTTTCAAGTGCAGGCAACTTTTCATCTCTGTTTATTGGTAGAAAAACGTGCGGTGGATTCAATTTTGTTCAAAGTTGAGGATAAAGATTCGCTCGAACCTCCTTCAACTAAGTAATACTTCCAGTAGTTACCATTGGCAAGAATAATTCAATTTACCTTCCTTGCCGAGGCACAAGGTCATGCCGTGGGCTTATTCAGGCAGTCTGTACGCATTTTTTTTTGGCAAGGCTGAGTGTTACTGCCTATAAGCTTAGTTTTTTGATTATGCAATGACCTGATTACACAAGGGTTTTGTGCGGTACCCTGAGAGTTGTATTATCGGGGTTCCACTGTATAGGATAATAAGCAAAGTCCCATTGCCCACGTAGATTAATTTGTGGTCACTAATTACTTCATGAAATATTACCACGGCAAGTACGCATCACAGCACCATACATAGAGGCATGAACGAATCGCAGATGAGGACATACACAAAAATGTGCACATAGACTATCAATACGTAGCCAGTATCTACTCTAGCAGCCGTTTGAAGGCTATTTATGCTCCTACTTTGGAATAGCACACTGTGTACTGGTTAGCAACAATAGAATTTAGAAGAATAATGAATGTTTTGTACACATCACTGTCTACGCCTTTATTTGCAAATATGTATATCATCACACTGCATGAAATTTTTATTCCAAAGTAATGAACAAAATTAAAGTTGGTCTGAATTTTTCTAAATAATGTCATGATTACTGCAAGATATACGGTAATACAGTTGAATCTCATTAACTTGAACATGCTTCATTTGAACTTCCAGTTAATTAGAACTGATGCTGTGGTCCCATCAAAGCTACGTGCATTCCAATGGGTGAAAATGCCCTGTAATTGGAATGCGCAAGCACTTGCAACAGTTAATTCAAACATACCACGCCCGATCCCACGGCGGCACCTCGGACACCTCAACGCCACGCCCGAAGAAGGAAAAGAAAAAAGAAAGAAAGAAAAGGCTGCAGCGGAATGTTTGCTTTCTCTCAGCGACGCCCCTGAGCCACGCTTCTCCCTTTTTCATCCCTGCTACGTAGAGACCCTTCTCCTTTTAACGTTGCACGCGAAGAGAGAGAGAGGAAAAAAAACAAAGCTGTCGTGGAGTGTTGGCTCTCTCTCTCAAATGCCGATCTGCGACGTGCCGGTGCCACCCTTCCCCCTTTCCCGTCCCTGCCACATAGAGACCCTTCTCCTTTCAATGCTGCGCGCGATGAGAGAGAGAAAGAAAAAGCTGCCGTGGAGTGTTAATCTTCTTTCAAACTTTCAAATGCCGATCTGCTTCACTGCTTCATGTGCTGGCCAGACTGCGGCGCAGGGGGTAGCAGTGGAGGCGCAGTCTTTTTTATTGTCTTTAGAGAGTGTCAGCACTGGACATTGCCAGGCGCAACTTCTCTTGCCAGGAGAATGCTGAAGCCGAAGTAGAAATGCTTTGCAAACTGCGTGCGAAATTGACTGACTCGCTGCAAGGCAAACGTGTGCAGACGCGCATCGCCGATTACTTCAAATAATGACAGATGACCTGTGATTTGTGAATAAAAGTAAGTCTGCTGAAACTTCCCCCTCGTGTGTTAGCTCAATGCACATGCACCTCTGCATGGTGAGCCCTCCGTTCATTTAGCTTTTATTAATTCGAACTTCTTTTTTGAACAAGTTTTTGAGCCCCTTTGAGTTCGAATTAATGAGATTTGTCTGTATTTACGAGAGCTATGGCAACGTATGTGGTTTAGTAGTTACTTCGTTAAAAAGACCAAGAAAGCATTCCTGGTTAGTAATGGCAAAAGTATCAAGCTTTACTAGCTGCTGGCTATAGTAAAGAGATGCTGCAAACATAGTAAAATATGCTCAAAACAAGTAGATACATGCGTTGCCAACTGTTGACTAAGTTCTTTTCCTGAAATTGTGCTGACCATGCAAATGCAATAGGCAGTGGGAGAACTGCCCCTTTGGAAACCTGCAGTGTGGTTGAGTACTGCACGAGAGATAAGTCTCCAAGCTACTATGCATCGACCGTGGTAATGTGCTTTGCGTACTTTTGGAGTTCTTAATGCATAGGATGACATCGGCTTTATGGGGCGTTCATTCTTAGCTCAATAAAGCTATCAGATACCTTTCCTACTTTAAGGAATTGTAGGAATGGAATTGGCCTGCCTGGCCATTCCCGGAGTGGGAATGGACTAAGTTCTTTAATTTTAGAGAATTTAAAAGAATAGAATTGCAACAAGTTGCAATTTCCTGGAATGGAATAGAGACACCCATCCCGCAACAGTTCTCTAAATCTGTGCCTTTTTTAGATCTTGAAACAAACTTCCAGCACTTCAATATACTAAACTTACAATTTTACTCATTCTATGGCGTTCCAGAAAATATTTGTTTAGCACTAACATCGGAAGCCTTGTGATGGTTGACAAAGAAGCTTCGAGCAAACAGGCAGACGATTTTTTTGGCATGGCCAAGTAGTACTGACGTTTCATGATTACCAACAGACTAGTCTTAGGGAACTTAATCACAAAAAATGATGACCCATGGCTGTATAATGGCCTAAAAATAATCGATAGCACATTTGGCATGAGGCCTGTTTTTTCAAGTGTATGACAAATAAATGCAGCCTCCCATTCATAGTGTTTGATAAAAGAGTGAATAAACAATTGGGTATTCCAATTTTTCATCAGGAAAAGCTCTGCACTGATAGCCTATAGAGAAAGAAAGAGAGCTCACCTCCAGATGACATCGGTCCACGTCAACGGGCAGCCGATAGTTGGATGTCATTAGCAGATGGTAAGGGTACAGCTGCAAAACAACAGACCTTTTTCACAAACTGCCTCACAACATCAGTAGTGCTACCACAGCTCATAGGCATCATAGGCATGCACCATTACACAATGCAACCCTGACTCTAATATTTTGTCGAAATCAGGCGCCGTTGCAATTCTACTTAACCTTAAAACTAAATCTTTTCCAGGTCCACATGATATGCCCAACATTCTTTTTGAGAAGATACGTCAAAGCATTAGCATCTTCTACAGTTTTTATATTTCAAGTGTCATAAATGCCTACAGATTGGTTCTTGGCATGTGTTCTACCTTTACTAAAACCACATGAATAACAAATTGTCACTCTATACGACTAACTTCACCATGTTACTAAGTACATGAACAGGTAAAGATTATAGGTGATAACATAATTTCATCTTGCCAACTTCATTTTCATAAAGGTTTTTCCACTGTAACATAATAAACAGTAATTCACAACTGTGCTGGTGTTCTTGATAAGTCCGGTCAGATTGACAAATTGTATTCACTCGCCGAATGAACATACTTTTTTTCTAGAAAAATCGGAGCAAAGTTTGAAGGTGCGTTTATTACGCGGGGTAAACTTTATGAAAACTCTTCCAGGAGAAGGAAAAAATGTGGCAATGCAAAAAAAAGTTAGGTCGCTTAGCCTTTCGCAATTTGCACATGCGTACACTGTTTGGAAACAGCTTCTTTGTTGCACTTTACTCATATTTGGTGGTTGGTGGCCCTATAATCTGCAAGCTGTCTTAGGGCCATCCACGCCCATCATAAAAACGCTTCGGGACTATCTTTTTTCGCAATCGTTTAACCCCAACAGTGACTTGAATGTAAATATTCGACAGAAGTCTGTCTGGTTGGGTATGAAACTGGGAGATCATTTAGACTCCAACCAAAAGTTTTGAAGGAACCCGACGTTTCGAAACCGACTTGGTTCCTTCCTCAGGGGTGACACGCCAAGGATGTGCGGAAGCTCTACAAAGAACGCAGCGCAGTCGCCGAACATGCTGAGATGTTAGACCACCGGATGAATTTCGAAGCGACGGCCATCCTTGAAAGGAGCCGAACTGGTCGAGAAGGTTATTACTCGAGTCACATACAGAGGACAGCCCATAACATCGACCAATCTCTCGGAACCCTTCCCTAGTGTATACACATGGACTGCGCTCCATGGCAAAATGAGAGAGAGAGAGAGAGAGAGAAAGAGGGTCATTATCCGCCCCGCGAGTGCTTTGAAAACGCCGCTGCTACATAGTCACTGCAGTCACCCCTGAGGAAAGAACCAAGTCAGTTTCAAAAAGTCCGGTTTCTTCTGGTTGGAGTCTAAATCATCTCCCAACCCCAACAGCGGTATCTGCTTGTGATCTCGAGGGGCGCCCAAAAGTGTGCACTCATGGGGCAATGTAGAATGAAGGGACAGTTCGAGTGAAGAAAAAAAGAGAAAGGGGGGAGGGGAGGGTTCGCAGGAAGCGACCCAGCTCAGTTGGCCTTTAATGACCTTCGTTTGCTGTGCCCTTATCAGAGGCGATGTCTCAGAACTCCCACTGCTCCTGAACCCTGCTGTGGCGCACAGATAAGGCAGGGGATGTGCCACGCACAGATAGAAAGAAAAGCAATAGGCACGCAGCAAGGGGCGAAGGGGGGGGAGCGAGCCCACCTGGTTGAGGGTGGTCGCCAATGTAATAAAAAACGGAAGAGAGCCAAAGGTGCGTAGGCGCCAGATGTCCCTTAGGGGGACTGCAGGGGATGAATATAGGGGATGCGTTTATTACAGATGGAAAGAAAAGCAATACGGCACCCAGCAGCGGGCAAAAGGGGGAGGGAGCGAGTGGATGTGGTTGAAGGGGGTTGGCAAAGTAATAAAAAATGGAAGGGATCCAATGGGTGAGGAGGCGCCAGGTGTCGGTTAGCGGAACTGCAGCGGATGAATGTAGGGGGTGCACTTATAACGCGGGGGAGGGGGAATCAAAATTTTGATGACTGAAGTTGGGGGTGTGTTTATTATGCGAGTGCGTTCATTACGGGAGTAAATACATTATTTTTAGATTTTAGGGTATTGTTTGATCCTATATCCCACAGGAAGCTGATTAGTAAACCACAATTAATTGACCTTCCAACTTACCCAGTGAATTGTGTGACTATTTCTCTGGACTAACCACAGGCAGTTCATTTCAATAATTAACCACTTACTAAAGGTGTGTCAAAATTTGAAATTTCATATATCAATTGTATATTTTCGTGTTTCAAAGCATGATCAATTTAAGATATGCATATTCAAAAATGCACTTTCCCAAATATTTGGCCATTGTGTGACTATTTCTCTGGACTAACCACAGGCAGTTCATTTCAATAATTAACCACTAACTAAAGGTGTGCAAAAATATGAAATTTCCTATATCAATTGTATATTTTCCTGTTTCAAAGCATGATCAATTTAAGATATGCATATTCAAAAATGCATTTTCCCAAATATTTGGCCATTCTTGAATATGCAATTCAATACGCAACCATTTGGAGAAGTTGGAATATTAAAAAAAGTAATGCACTACTAGGCACGGGTAAGAACTAGAGCACTTCAAGTATTCGAACAGATATTACAGTATCTCAATCCAGTTTGACAAGAAATAAAAATTTCCGAAATTTTGAAGTATTCGAAACGAACTATTACTGAATGTAGTTTACCACAAGTAACCCGCTTGACAAGATGGCCCCATATTGCTGCGAAACTGCCCATCCAGGGGAAATCTGCACTGCTGCAAAGCCACACTTCAAGGTTTAATATATATTACCTGCATCCATATTATTATTATCTTTTAAGCCTAAAGGGGTCGTGAAACATTGTTAGTAAATTTTTAACTACGAGAGTATTCAGAATCCTGGCCATTCATTCAATACTACACCTCAACTTGTATCATCGTTCAAAATTGTACTTTCATCAAAATTGTACTATAAAAGCACAATTTCGATTCTCAGCTCATGTTCCCCTTACCTATACGGCTGCCACTTTAAGTCAGCCAATTGAAAGTCTCTGTGGAGACGGACTGATCTTTGCTGAGCTATATAGTTGACCAAGGTTCGTAGTATTGTATTGTCTCGATTGTAGTGCCGTAAGGCCATCCCAAACATTTTTTTCACTTTCATAAGTTGTGTGGCACTGCTTGACGATGCAAACACTAGGCATAACAAGGACTAAGCCAACCAAATCGCACCGTAACACACAACCTAATACAAACAGTAAGAAAAACACTGGGACGTTGTGCCGAACAAGTGAAGGCAATAGCCAACCAAGTCACACTGTAAAACACAACCTAATGCAACCAGTAAGAAAAACACTGGGACGTTGCGCCAAGCAAGTGAAGGCAATACGTGACAGAGCCCGGCCATAGTTGAAAGCCAAACAAAGCAGATCACTCACTGTACTTCCACAGTATACAGGGCTCAGAACACGAAAATTACCGTGTTATTTTTTTTGTCTTTTCTAGGTTGCTATAAAACTATATTTTTTAGCAAAAGAACGCTAATGCTCTGTTTATAATTTCTTTGACAATACATTTCACTGACGTCACATGTTGGTGCTTATAAGAGGGAAAAACAGCGCAAAATTTAGACAAGATACAAGATGAAGACGGCACGACAACAGCGCTAACTTACAACCGACTTTCTTTTTTGACATAAGGGCAGATATATACCTAGACAGTAAAAAAAATTAGTAAGAAATAACATGATATGATGGCCCTATTCCCCGTCGATATGCATCACTGCTGGGTGCCACAAGTGCATGTTGTACACGTTATCTATGGTTCAAGAAATCAAATCCTTTTTTGGAAAAGGGTGACAGATGGCATGCTCACATAGTCTTGATACATTCTAATTGTGCCACTTAAATAATCTCGTTTCTTGCTATTATTGTTGTTTTGGAATAGATTGGCTTGAATCCACAATCCCTGCAATGGAGGCCACTAATATAGCTCTATTTACATTGTAGTGATGCTTTTGTAGTCACTCATTAGGACATCTTCCTGTTTGCCTGATATATTTTCTTTCACAGACATTGTAATTGAGTACATGATGCCTTCAATACAATTCACAAATCGATTTACACGCTTTATGGCACATGACTGTGGCTGTCTTCCTGTTTCATTTACTTTTTTGTTTAATTCTTCAGTGATCTTGAAGCACACGTACCAAATAAACAATCATAGTCTAGCTGAAGTATCATGCTTCAAATATTTAGGAGTTTCAATCACATCCGATCTGAAATGGAATGAGCACGTCACGTACATTCAGAAAAAGGCAATGCGAAAACTGGGATACTTAAGGAGAATGTTACCGAAAGCTTCTCAGGATACCAAACTGCTAGCTTACAAAACTTACACCAGACCACTATTAGAATATGCTTCAATCATCTGGGACCCATACACTCTAGTTAATACCAATAAGCTTGAGAGCATACAAAGAAAAGCCGCGCGATTTGTTTATAGTTCATACAGCTGGAAAACGTCTCCTACGAGTCTTCTCCGCAGGGCCGGTTTGGAAAGCCTTGCGGTAAGACGTTATTATGATCGGCTAAAATTTTTTTATTTGATGTATAACGATAGACTTCAAATTGACAAGGAAGCATACATCCAGCCGAGCATTTGCCGCCCAACACGATCCAATCGCCCAATGAAAGTCGCTGAATTTTCGTGTAAAACAAACGTCTTCAAAAATTCCTTTTTTCCCCGTACGTGCCATGAGTGGAATCTGTTACCTGCTAATGTTGTGCAATGTTCTGATGTCTCATCCTTTCTTCGTGCCCTGTTGAATTCGGCATGATTTAGTCTTCAATAGTAGTTGTTATCCTACCGATTGCACTTGTACAGTTTTTTTTTTTCCGGTTCAAAGTGTACCCTTAGAAGTGTATTGTTATGCTTGTATGTTATCCTGTTTTCTTCTTTTGTATCGCCCACACCTGCTCAAAGCCTCGCACCCAGGCTAGCAGTAACCTGTAAATAAATA